TTATGAGATGCTCCAGAGCTGGGGCTCTCTGAGGCTGGTCCCAGAAGTAGGGGTCCATGAAATGTTAGTGTTCCTTGAGATGGTCTGGGAGAAGCAGGCCCTGTGATCCCACAATTGGGATCCCACAGGCCCTGTGCCCCAATTGGGGTAACAATGTTATACTGTGTTAGCTTATGAAGGACTCCAAGGAATCCTAGATTTGAGGAGTTTGTTCAGGCCAGCATTTTGCCATCTTATATGATCACAGAATCCTTTCCTGGCATACAACATCCAGAGGGGATGGAGAACCCTGGATTCTATTGAGGTCCAGCTTGATTCCCCCATATCTCATTTCCTCCAGTCTGGTGGCAAGTTCTCAAAATTTGGGACAGATTGATATTTCAGGGACTATAATAATTTCTGATAATTACCAGCTAGAAGCTTTTCCTCCCCCCTGTCTCCCATAAGAAACTTAACCACAGGGGAAAAAATAAATTTCTGGCCTCAAATGGAAGTCAACAGCTGAAACTGATGAATTCCAGAAGCAAGTATTCCTCTAAGCATCCATGAGGGGGGGCGAGGGAGAGATGGATACCACAGAGGCTATGTAAATAGAATTATTTCTAAGTAGAACACCTTCAACATTTTCCATTTTTCTGTTAGGTAGCAGGCAGGTCATTGTGAGACCAGTTGTCCAAATATGGCCACTAATTCCTCTGAGTCAGTGAAGTATATTTAAGAAAAAAGAGATTTGGGAGAGAAATTTCTTGCCACATACTCTAGTAAGTGTCTCCAATTGTATGGGATATTATATTTAGGGCTGTGGTTTTCAAACCTTTTCTCAAAGCACAAAAAATTTCTCCTTTTCAAGGGAAATCTTATCCAAAACCCCTTCCTGCAACCCCCAGGCCAGCCTCCGAGGCAGCCTCAGGAAACCCCAGGGATCCGGTCAGTCACCTGTGGTCTCTGGCCTTGGTGCTCAGAAGTCAGGCCTCAGACCGGAAATTTCTCATCACCTGGTTGCCTGGGAGGAGTGTGAAACTTCTGGGCCCACCCAGACCTGCTGCATCCAAGGCTGCATTTCTACTCTACCCCTACAGAATCGGAGTGTGTGGCTCCTCTGTCCATGGGACTCTCCAGGCCAGAGTACTGGAGTGGGATGCCATGCCCTCCACCTAGGGATCTTCCCCACCCAGGGATCGAACTGGCATCTCTTATGTCTCCTGCATCAGCAGGTGGGTTCTTTACCAGTAGTGCCACCTGGAAAGCCCTAAAATTGAAGAGGTAGGTCTAAGAGATTAACTCCTGAAGATTTCTTCCTCTGTTGGATCACTCTGAATACCTGGACAGGGCTTCTTGAAAATTTGTCTGGAAATGTTCGGCTCCCAATGCAGCGACCACCCTAAGTAGGGTAATCCAAGATAGTCATGTCATTGGCTTGAGGCTTCTCTTCTGCAAAATCTGATGTGTACCCCTCCCCTCACAGAAATGGCAAGGAAAGATGTGAGGGCAGCCTGGCAAAAGGCAGGAGAAAAGAGAGAGAGAAATAGCTAAGAGTAGAGAATGTGAACCAGGAGTCTGGGGCTTAAAACCAACACTCCCACCCCTCTTGGATGAACTCAGGCAGGTTAATTAAGCTTCTGTCCTATTTATCCCCAGGGCCAAAGGGTGAGGGATGGAATATAATGATGGGTCTGATGGTACCCAGATGATGAGGATGCCAATGATAATGATGGTGATACCTTGATGATGATGGTGGTGAGGACAGTGATAGTGTCCAGATGGTGATGGTGGTGAGGATGATGTGGTACTGATGGTACCCATGATGATGATGGTATGGACAAGGATGGTATTAATACCTATCACATGATTGATAGGCAGGAAGCACCTAGAATTGCCTAGGCAGTTGGTCAGGGTTCCCCCTCCTGAGCCAGTAGGCTCTAGACTTGTGCCCCAGGCAGTGATTTTTAAGCATTTGAGCTGTGAGCCCTACCAGGCTTGGGGGTGCAGCCAGGGCCTGAGTGCATGCAGGCCCCCCCCCCCCCAACCCGGCAGCCCCTCTGAAGGGCGGTGCTGGCCTCAGGGAGGCTTTCTGCATCGTGCTCGGAGCCTCTGCAGCCTCTCTGGTTTCTTGGCACCAGGAACCACTTGGTCTCAGTCCAAGGATTTGGTCTTATAAACAAGAGAGGGAAAAAAATAGAAGAGTTGTGGAAAACTGACACAGGGATAGGTCACCCTAGAAATGCTAAGACATCAGCAAAGCTCTTGATTAGCAGGATTTCATCAGGGGACCTCTGATGGCCGACAGGCCTCAGTTGTGCAGGCAGAGAATTCCAGACGGAACAGGCAGGTGGGTGAAGGTCAAGGTGATCCACCCTCTGACCTCTGCCTTTCTGCCCCAGAGGGTGAGCTGCAGGTCCTGCCCCAGTGGCTGAGTGCCTTTATCTGGGATCTGGGAGCTTGGGATTCTCATGTTGCCACTGCCATGAGGGAAGCAAGCTGCCCTTCCTCATGCCAGTCAGCATCTAACTCTCCTATGAGCAGAATGTTGAGCTGCCCTTCCCTCCTTCAGGGGCCTTATGACTAGACTTTCGCTTCCTTGGTTTGAAGCCAATGTGTTCACAGGGGTGGAACAGTCATCACAATTTGCCCTGTAAAAAAACGCCTCAAATGATGAAAGCTAGTCTTCCACTCTGCTGTAAGCCTTTAAGCCACTTATCAGACTATTTTTACTATAAATGCCTCTTTGCATAGACAATCACCTGCTGCAGGAACACATTTACACCCTGGAGCCATGGAATGCATTTTAATTGCATTAATAAGAGCTGGGCAGGAGCTAAGTGGTGAGGCCCTCTCCGGCTCAATTAAAAGAGGTTGGATGAGCCTGGAGCAACGGGTGCCCAGCAGCAGGAAAAGGGATGCTGAGACCCATCCTGAGTGAAAAGGGGAGGCCTGGAAAGGGGGCTTATAGGTGCTGGTTGGATCTAACCAAAAAAGGAAGCAAAGGGAAAAAGGCTTGTGATGCAGTGGAATGAGCTTGAGATTAGCTCAGAGGCAGGTTATTTTCCCGTCCTGTAAAATGGGTGCAGTGATATCCATTCACTCATGGGATGAAGATAAAAAAAGAGATGAGGTTTCCAAATCCTTTAAGCACCACATCACATGGTATCTGCTGTTGATCAGGAACTGACTAGAGATGGATCCTGCATTTACAACAACCCTGGAGGAAGGCAGGGCTGGCTGTGCCCACTTTACAGATGAGAAAAGCGAGGAAGGGCCCTCACTTGCCCAGGGCTGTGTGACCGGCTGGTGGTGGAGCTGAGCTGTGAGTGCCGGGCTACCTGGCTGCATCTCCACCTCAGGAAAGATGTGCCCGTACTATGCTTCCTGGTGACTGTAACAGGACAAACCCACATACCTGAAAACAGCAGCCCAAGCCAATGAACCAGCTCCTCCTCTGCACAGCAGCACCCCTGTGTGTACCCGCCACCCCTTCCAGTGCCCACCACCCAGCAGTGGTGAGCTCTCTAGTCGCTCTTGCTGCCAGCCACCCTGAGCCAGGATATCAAGGAGGCTGACTCCCCTTCTCCTCCAGAATCCTGTTTCTGGCTGCGTAGTCCTCAGGTGGGACCAGGATGCTGAGCATCCCTGCCAGGCCCCACCTGGTAGCTGCCGCCTCGCTGGGTCTACACTTCCAGAGGGAGAATGCAAACCTCCTTCATGTGTGTTTAGGGTAGAACAACCCATTGTCACAGAGATTGCAGTCCCTCCCCAAGCGTGCACTGAGCCCACTTCTTCCAAAGGGATTTCAAGTGAAGAGAACCTCTGCCCACGCCTCTGTTCTCCAAGTGGAACCTCCCTGATCCCTCATCGACCGGGCTTGTGGGACCAAGTTCTCCAAGCTTCTGGCTTCCTGAATCCAGAGCTCCTCTCCTTGTCCTGTCCACCCCCACATCTGGTCTCCATCCTTCCCAGCAGAGGATCTAGCGAGATGACCAACGTTTCTCAGCCTCAGCTGTCTTTAAAATGAGGGGACCACACGGCCCGAAGGTGGGAGCACTGGGGGTCTTGTAGGCAAAGCTCTTGGCAGCTCCCAACCCTTGGAGATCCTTGAATAATTAGGAAATTCTGTTGTTGCCAGGTTCATGATCTGGGAATGAAAATGGGCTTTTCTGTAATTGTTCATATAACATTGCTGATTCTTCAGCTGCATCTGTTGTTGTTCATCACTCAGTCACGTCCAACTCTTTGTGACCCCATGGACTGTAGCCTGCCAGGCTGCTCTGCCCGTGGGATTCTCCAGGCAAAAATACCGGAGTGGGTTGCCATTTCCTTCACCAGGACATCTTCCCAACCCAGGGATCATACCCGAGTCTCCTGCATTGGCAGGTGGATTCTTTACCACTAAGCCACCAGGGAAGCCCTCATTGGCATTTATAGACCCCCAGTTCCAAGAAGTTCTGAAAATCTGGAAATGTATCAGCGATTCCCTTTCCTGAGCCAGTGGGAACATCAGAGAACAAAGCCGCCAGCTGGGCCCCATGGTCCACAGGAGTACTTTCTGTGGGAGGTGGTGATGCTGATGAGGGTACAGAGAGAGAGAGAAGGAGCTGGAATTCAGCCAGACCCCAAAGCCAAGGCCCTTCTTCAGTCACACCCCCAGCGCTCCGGTCCTGAGCCATCTGTGTCCAGGTCAGATGGGAGGGGTGGTCTGCGCCCCTCCCTGGGTCCGCCCTTGTTAAAGCAGAGTCATGTAACTAACACAAGTCAGGTGCGTTCAGTTTGGAAATTCTGGGCACCTGCGGTGCTGAGAGCCTGAGGGTCTGGCCTGCGCGTGGAGGGTTGGACTCTGTGCGGGCCGACCCTGCCCTCCCGGAGCCTGCAGTCAGGACTCTGGGGCCAGGCTTGGGGGATGCCCCAGAAGCAACACTGTATCCTCTCCTCTGCTATTCATGTTCCTAAGAAACAGCTCCCAAACCGAGGGCTGAAAGGAAGGGTCCTAAGAGAAGAGAGCAGACACCATGGGAAGACTGGCCGACATCATGTGGATTCCAGTAAGCTCCAGCTTTAGCTCGGGTCCGGTCGTGAGTTAATTCCCGCCTCCCAGACTGGTTAATCAGAGGCAGACCTCAACGGGCCCCTGTTGGTGTAACCCTTTTTCTTCTCTGGGGGGTAGGGGGGGAGCCGGAACCCCACGAGGGACAAGGAGTGACCGCCCGTGACAGGGTTCTCTCGGCAAACTGAGGGAGATAGGGTTCAGCGTCAGAGCCCAGAGCCCGAGATCCTCACCCCTAATTGCTGGGAACACGGGCCCCTTGCTGACCGCGCATGCTCGTTTGCACCCCGACGCCTGTGCCATGTTATCCGCACGGGGTCAGGGAGGCTGGAGCAGGGCAGGCCTGGCCCTGGTTCTGCTGGTGTCTGCCCAGCCTCACCCCGAGGTGGGGTCTCCCTCCCGTCTCCCCGCGTTGCTTCTCCACATCAGGGAGGGATCCGGCTCTGGCTGCTCACGCTACATACATGACTTAAACAATTGTTTGCATTTCTTTTTTGCTGCTGATTCCCAAAGAGCTGGAGGCCCCACGGGGAGTTCACCATGCCAGATCGTCCGTGGATGGGCCCAGGGGCTGGTGCGCTCCTGACCGGTGTCCCGGGGCACCAGGGCACCGGATATGGGGCCACCACATTGGTGTTTGTGTGACTCCACTTCGTGGCACAAGAAGCCGTGAGGGCGTGAGGCCTGAGCCCTACTGGCCTCTCACCTCCTTCCCCCAGCGCCTTGGCCGAATCCACTCCTCCGAGGACCATCCTTCCTGCTACCGAATCCTCACACTGTCAGGTACTGTCTTGATCATTTTTGCTGTTTCTGCCTACCACATGCCATAGTCTGCTCTTTACTCCATCATTGTTCCTTAAGTGGACACCCATTTTTACTTGTATAAATGGGTTTATAAGGAAGTTATCTCCTGCTGCACTAAAGCGGAGAGTGGTATCATTTGTGGAGGTTACCATATAAAATGCCACGAAAACCACGGTGTTCTCAGAGCATAGCTGCTGCCTGGGCCTGCTCTCTGCCCCTCAGGGGTGAGAGGCATCATGTGTGTGTGTGTGTGTGTAGCGGATGGGACACACCGCGTGTGTCAGGGCTCCTCTGATGTCCCCATGCGGGGCGGGAGGTATCTCTTACCAGGGATGCAGGGTCCTTTGGTGGGTCTCTGGACTCCTGATGCTGTGACGGTTCCTCCCTGCCCGCCTCACGTCACTACAGGGTGGCCTCGGTCCTGCCAGCCATCAGAACCCCCTGGTCCTCCAGGTCTGTGTCTTCCTTGCATCCTCATCACACCGCTTCTCCTTGCTGCAGCATCCAACACCCCTCCGCTCTAGAAAAGCCTTTCCTGGGCCCTGGCATGTCACCCTGCCTTCCAGAGAGTTCCTCCTCTTCACCCCATTTGAAATTCCGCCCTTCTTCCCCATTGTTGTGGACACGTGCTGCAGAGGGCAGAGAGCCACGTGGTTACCTGCAATCAGGAGGACCGCGGGGCGGCCTCACTGACCCAGCGTCCCCAGCTGTTGCTCCAGGTACAGATGCGGGGCTGGGATGGCGGGTGTCTGTGGGCGCCTGGAGCCCACAGCCAGGTCAGTGTGGTACCAGGTGATCAGAGGGCCTGTTGATGATCAGGGCCTGGCCTTGTGTTTTCCAAGACACTGGGTGCCCAAAGGCCAGTGCAAGCTTGGCGTGGTCGGTGCTGGCGGGGCTGTCCCTGAGGGTCACAGAGCACACTCCAGGGAATCAAACGTTGCAGCCTTTCGACGCCCACTTCCCTATGCTGGACCTGGGGTTGGCCTGGGGCAGGAGCTGCCTGTCTCCCTGGGTCTGTGTCCTGCTGGGGGCCTCAGAAGTGTCCCCTGGTGCTGCCCCTTCCTCTGCCCCAGCCCTGTCTCAGGCCCTTCTTTGCTGGCAAATACGGCTGCTCTAAGGTTTTCATGGGTGTCATGGTGTCCATCCCTGTGTCTGCATGCTCGCTCAGTCATGTCTGATTCTTGTGACCCCATGGACTGTAGCCCACCAGGCTCCCCAGTTCAGGGGATTTCTCCAGGAAAGGATACTGGAGTGGGTTACCACTTCCTTCTCCAGGAGATCTTCCCAACCCAGAGATCGAACCCTCATTTCTTGCATCTCCTGCATTGGCAGGTGGGTTCTGCACTAGCCCATCCCTCCCATCTCCCCAGTGTGTGTTTAACTTGGGGCCCCTCTGGGGGCAGATCCTTGATTCCAAGGTGAGGAGGTGGACTGGGTCCAGATGCAGAAGGTGGGGAGGAGGAGAGCCATGCCCCCACCTGGACTGTCCACTGGCTCCGTGGCCGCTGTCCTCTGCCTCATTCCTCCTGCTGGCCATCAGGGCTGCTGTCTGCCTCTGAGACCCTCCCGAGGGTGAGAAAGGCCCCTCAGCAAATACCTATTTTCAGTTTCTCTCAGTCTTAACTCAGGCAGCACTAGAGGTGATGCTGCCTCTTTGGAATCCACTCCTGGGCGTGACTGTGCAGTGTGTCTGCTCAGATGAGCAGGAAAAGCCAAAACCCACGTGCCTCTCGGGGTGGGAAATGCGGGGAAATAGCACTTGGGACCTGCCTTCAGGGGAGACCAGAGTGATGGGGAATGCAGACAGGAGTTTCCACTGCGCTGAATGACACCCATCTCCCGAACCCCCGTGGCTGCCCAGGGCCAGGAGGATGGCGAGCTGACCAGTCACCGGCATCAGACTCCCAGGCCAGAGGTCCTCACTATGGTGAGAACAGATTCCTTCCAGCACACGTTGTGTTTTCACACCTGTTGAAATGTGAACAGTCTTAGGTTAGATTAAGATGCCAAGTATTATAATTAGATTAACTATACTCTTTCTTGTCTGACAGCTTCTTTTGCTAGACTGTCCTGGCCCCTGGGTCCCAGGGTTCTACAGGAAACAGAGGGAACAAAGGCCAGGCCTGGAGACACAACTTCTTTTATTTTTTCAAGTTTTATTGACGTAAAATTGATTTACAGTGTTAATTCCTCCTGTACAGTAAAGTGATTCAGTAATACATGTATATATTCTTTCTCATATTCCTTTTCACTGTGGTGGTGTGTCATCAGTTATTGAGTCTAATTCCCTGCTTCTTTCGTTTTTTAACTTTTACTGATGTATAGGTGTTTGATGGTGTTGTGTCCCTGGCTCTTGGTTTGAAATGGAGACTTTGACAACAGAGCAGAATGGTGCTTCCCCATCGAGGGTAGTGTAGCCCTTGGCCTGATGTTGGAGCGGTCCAGCAGATGCTGGGGTCCTGAAATCTGTCTGGCAGGGAAGTGCAGGGCACTGAGAATGGGGGCTCCCCTGGGTCTGTCCCATCACAGCCATCCCCCTGTGCCAGTGCATCTGCAGACTTAGTTCTGGGGACCCTGGATGGACTCAAAGCACCTTCAGCATGATGGGGCCACACAGTGCCAACCTGCAGGTCGGAGAAAGGAGGGCAAACAAACCTTCAGCCAGGCGGATGTATCATCCTGAGACTTTAACAAAGAAGCTATTGACTCAAAACATAGGAATGGTTACTTGGACCTGTTTCATTATATCATGTCACCTTCTGCTGTTGGAGATGTTACAAGGCTGTGAGGGACAAGATCCAGAGTCTAGTTTTACAAGTACGTTGCTTAGAAGTGCAACTGTGTGTTGGCTCAGCCGATGCACAAATCTTTGGAGGCATTTGGGGGGAAAAAAAGATTAAAGTGACTATAAAACCACAAACTATGTACCAAATGTATTATGAACTTTAATTTGCAGGTTCTTTTCTTGTTTTTTTTTTTTTTTTTGCCTCCTGTAGCTTGAGGCAATGGTTTCCAGAAGAGTCTGTTGTTTGGATTTAAAACTGCTTTGTGAAAATACTCCATTCTCCAAGGTTCTGTGGGTCACAGAACAGTTGGCTGGAATCCTGGCGGGGCCCCGAGAGGCTGGTTCTCTGGGTGATTCAAGTAGGGCCGGGCCTGGACTAGGGGCTCTGGGAGTCTGGCCTGGGTCAGGATGGAGCTGGCCAAGGTCAGCCCAGGAGTTGAAAACAGAAGTCCAGGGCCTTATTTATCTCTTGTTTTCTTGCCTAACTCTGAGTTAAAGAAACTGGTTCCTAGTGGCTTCCTTGCTGCCTTTGTTTTGTTTTGTCCAAAAGAGTTCACATCCCAGAGTGGGCCATAGACACAAACCTCATTGTGACCCTGAACATCGGAGTTTCCAGTTGCTTCTGAGTCTGGGGTGGTTTTGACCAAGGAGCACAGACAAGGCGGTGGGCCTCTGTGGATGGGGCTCCCCTTTGCTGTGTTTCATGGGTGGGGAGATCCCACCCACAGTGGATCGCCGTTGCCGATCACCCCAGGAGTGTGTCTTATTTCCTACTCAGACGGACGAACTCCAGCAAACCAGATTCCCATCCCCTGCAGCTCCTTTCTTTGCCCTGGTGGTAAGAGGATTCAATACATAATGTGTGGAATCTAAAATACAATACAGATCAACATGTCTACAAAACAAAAACAGTCTCACAGAGAAGAGGCTCATGGTTGCCAAGGGGGAGGGGTATGGGGAGGGAAAGAATGGGAGGTTGGGATTAGCATATGCAAACTGTTATATACAGGATGGGTAAACAACAAGGTCCTACTGTACAGCTCAGGGAACTGTATCCGATCTCCTGTGATAAACCATAATGGAAAAGAATATATATGTGTGTCTGAATATATATATGTGTGTGACTGAATCACTTTGCTGTATAGAAGAAATTAACACTGTAAATCAACTACACAGTTGGAAAAATGTATATAAAACAAATGTATACAAAAACAAAAAGTACACAAAACAAATACAGGTTTAAAAATGCGTAATCTGGATTGCATTGGCAGTCACAGACCTGGCATTCTGGCCTCAGACATCTAGACCTGGAGGAGGCATATAAGAACAGCAAAATGTCTAAGATAAAGGTACTGGTCACAGAGTTGCCATTTTGGTCTTAATAGAAAGAAATTCACTCCAGCACAACACGATCCTTTTAGGCCACCATCCTGTCCTGCCTCACACACAGGTAAGGGGTCTTCAGGACCCATTTCCACCCACACCTCTAACTGGCTATGTAAGCGGCTCACAACCCTTCAGTTCAAGCCTGAGTCCTGATCTCAGCTTTGCTTGGGATTCAAAGCTAAAGCTAGTTCTGTCCGTGAAGATTATGGACCCCTCTGTGCAGAGAGAGTCCAGAAGTTCGCTAACTATGGAAGCTTCTACTAGACATGTGTTCCAAGGCCTCAGTCCTGGGCTGGGAGCCAGGACACCCGGGTTCTGGCTCCACTTCTCACTTAGAGTAGGGGGCAAGGGCTACCTGTTCTGTAACACAGAACAACAGAAAGGTATCACCTCACAGCTCCGGATGATGGGGCCAAAATCAACGTGCCTCCAGGGCTGGCTCTGCGTAGGGCCAAGAGAGAGGATGCTCTCCTATTTTTCTGGCAATTTGCTGGCAATCTTTCGCTAATCCTCAGCTATGCTCTTTGGTTTATAGCAGCATCACCTCCATCTCTGCCTTTGTGTCTGCATGGCATTCTCCATGTGTGCAGCTCTGGGCCCAAATGTCCCCTTTTTAAGGAAACCAGCCACGTAGGATCAAGGCTACCCTCATGACCTCATCTGTTGTTGTTTAGTCATTTCAGCTGTGTCCAGCTCTTTGTGACCCCATGAACTGTAACCCGCCAGGCTTCTCTGTCCATGGGCTTTCCCAGGCAAGAATACTCTAGTTACACCTACAATGACATTATTTCCAAAGAAGGTCATGTTC